TTGAGACTGGTCTACAGTTAATGTTTACACAGAAATGGCTGTGCTTTTTAAAAGCAGATATATGAAAAGTATTTTGAATAAACAGACTTCAGGTTGGTTTATTTTTATCTATGAAGGACAGTTATTTATCCCAGAGAGCTCTCTGAGTCTGCTTGGAAAGATTGCACAATTCCAGCTGCCCGCCAGTCTGTGGTTACGTATATTGTAATATGTCGAGAAACATTTTGGCAGCAGAATTGTTTTGCAGGGATGTTTTTCTCCGCTGGAAGAGCAGAGAGGCTAAGTGCCACGTTCTTTATTCAGGGCCTCTGTCATCTTAAAATGTTTTTATTCTGTTAGGGCAGTGTTAACAAACTATAGCCTAAAGACCAGGTCTGCAAATCCTATTTTCAAGAATGCATAATTACTTTCACTCTGACCTTTGTACTTGAATTTGTCCTGTTTCTGATTTGGGGCACCAAACTGTTTTTTTGACTGTGTGCTATGCTGAGGAACTCTTGTCAGCAGACATTTGCCCCCTCTTAGAGCTGAAGAGTACCTTTATATTGTTCATGTATCCCCCTCCAGAGCCATCCTCAGCCCTTTGTTTTAATTCTGGAGAGGCTGCATGTTGGAACATGAAAAAAAATGTTTTCTTCATTAACACTTCCCATATTACTATTGGTCTGACCCTGATGGTTATGTCCTGCTCAACGTTTCCCACAGATTTACAGTAACGGCACATAAATCAGCATTGAGCAATCATAAAGCATGCAGTGTGCATGAAAAACATTTCTTTCTTGAACATTTCTTTGTGAACACAAAATCTAGTTCCTTTGCAACGGAAGATTACACTTATCTTGCACTTTAAGTGAGCAGGATGGATAATGTAAAGAAGTGAATGTGTCTTCCTTTATAACATTTTTCTCATTCATTTTTACAGTCTTGCAGAATTTGACTAGTGCTTCTGTAGTGAGGATTCTCCTGTGCCAACTTACGGCTCATGGCAATTCTTTTGTGCGTTATAGCTACACATACACACATTTGCTTATGGAACAGCAAAGTGAGGTACACTTGCCTGAGTAAGACTGTGACATTTTCTGGTTTCTTGCCTCTAATTCCATTATTGCTCAGAAGGCTTTGCGTACTCTGCACTGGAAACAAGAGTACTTCAATTATTGCCAGAGCCCTCTTCATTCATACCATTGCCCAGCTGCAGCAAACAGTTCAGATGAGCCCCTGCCAAGTCCTCTGCTTCCTCCTGTTCCTCACCCCCTGTGTCTTAGTGCTCAGCCAGCGCAGGCTCCTACAGTCCTCCTCTACAACAGATGCACTTACAATTAACCCTGATTGAAAAATACTGCCAAACACCCTCTGCCATTAACTCCAAGATTTTGAATGACGAACAAAGGCCACCATTTATGTCATCTTGGTAAAATCAGATCTTTACTTATTTTCCAATGAAGTTGATGCAGGACAGAGCATAGCACAAAGACCATGCCAAAGAACCTCTACTAACTATTTTAACTCAAAGTATGGGAGAAGAACACAAAGATCAGTCACTACTAAGTGACGAGGTGCTAAAATGACATATTAAATCTAATGGGAACAAGTGCAAAATAATATGTATAGTCCTATGTTTCTGTTTTTCCCCATGTACGTCTTTTTACATGTACACATTAAAAGGCTCTCAATGAGTTCTTGCAACTCAGAGAAAAGCTTCTACTGTCAGCAAGAACAGTGCTCTGAAATATCCGCAGCATTCCTCCTGGGAGTGAAAATGCTGAAAAATCTGTTAGGAATTGCTATGAAGAAGTGAGGAGTGCACAAAATACTGTTGTGTATCAGAAAGTATGGGGGGGAAACCAACCAGCTTTTCAAATGTTAGTCTTCCCTAGTGCTTGCAACCCTTTCTCTCTCTCACAGAGCAGGGTCCCACCTGCCACATGCCCAGATCTGGCATGACTGTAGCAGACACCCCAGACTTGGGCTTCCTGACAGAGAAGTTCTGCATGAAGTGCATGACTGTGTCTGACTGTCCTCGCCAACCCTGGCCTTGCTGCCACAGTCAAAATCAGTGCTGAGTGTTCCAGCTGCACAGAAGCTCTGTTCCTCTTCTATAGTACTGCAGTTAAACATCAGACTTTGACGTATTGGCTCGTATGTCCGTCACCTCCACAAACCTTTCACACACCCCGTGTGGATCAGGCACAGCCTCCACCTCCCTTTCCCCATGCCTACCTCGAAGCTTTCTCCTTACCCCCTCTGTAACCCTCAAGTCCTGAGTGTGGCTGCCCCCTCCTCCATTTCACTCTTGGGGAAATCTCTGTGTGCCCAACGTGTTGCAGAGAGCAGGCTTATGGCTTCTACTCCCTCACGGAGGGAGGATCAGGGTCCAAGGAAAGATGAGGCAGATGGGACAGAGTTCTTCTACTGAGTGGCCTCAGGGTTTCCTTGGAGGTCTGGACTTTGTCTAGAACAACTCATGGCATTACAGACGCACATGTATTCAGGACTGGGGGTAGAAAATTAATTTTCCTGCAGCTGTGCCACCTCTGGTTAATGGCACATGAAGAGAGGCAGCCCATAGTGATTACAGCAGGGTGACGGCACCATTCCTGAATGTGACTCTGTAGGCCAGGTTTATCATTATCTTTATCATTATAATTACTAACTGGCCCCAAGCCATGTGACAGGCAAGAATCAGCAGGGAGACTTCAGAAAGCATGAAGATGCTCTTTTCCCTCAGCCAGGTGTCCTACCAGTGGGTCTTCGTCTTCCATGTCCAACATTTCCTTTCCACTGTGAAGAGACTGGAGGGTGGGCAACTACCACCGTTGCCTTAGCAGCACCTGGAATGGCTTTGAGAGCTGTCCCGCTTGTTCCCCAGCACTCCTCCACCCATCCACGTGGCTTCTGGGGAACAGCAGCTCACAGGGCACTGGCAGAAAAGCAGCAGCAGGGACACTGTCAGGCTGCAGAAGGGTGCAACAGCAGCAGGAGGATCAACAGCACAAGTCACAAATGTAGATCAGTCTGCCAGCCTGCCCAGGCATCAGCATGCTCTGTGCACAGCACATAGAGCTAGGAAGCATGGCATCTGTGCTGTGCTCGAGTTCTGTTTGCTCCAATCAGAAGTTGCTTTCAATGAGTTAGGAAACAGGAAGAAGGTGCAGACTCCCAGACATGAGATATCAGATGCCACCTGCCAGGCCAAGGCTTTTTACACATAGCAGGACTGCTTTTACCATCCTACACATAATTTAAAATAATTACAAAGTTTGCAACTCATGCAGACCCAACTACAAGAACAACATATCAACTTGTAAAAAGATACCCCTAAAGAAGCCTCTGTTCTTCTAGTTACTAAAACCACAATTCAGGAAAGCTCGTAATACACAATGCATTTTGGTCACAGATCTAAGAAATGCTTTACAAAAGCACAGCCATTCATTGTAATGTTGTCCTGGTCTCAGCTACCTAGTTTAAATTTTACAGCCTTCATAGAGAATCAGGATAAAAATGCAAATTCCCAGTTTATGCCAAAAAACTTACTTTAAAATTTTTTTTAAAAGCCTCGTTTTCTAGACAATAAATTATACATTGTATTCTTGTGATTCAGTTCACAAAATAAGTTAAGACAGATATTGGAAAAACTAAGCAGTTGGCAACTAGCAATGCCTACACTGAAGCTTGAATCATTTAAATGGGGCAGATCTCACATCTCCATAGGTTTTCAAACAGTCATCACTTAGGATTTCTTATTTGTCTGTTCCTTTTTATATGGTAGTTTAGGTGGATTTCAGCTTTCTTGTACATGAAGCTTGGATTTTCCCAAATTTTAGATAGTGTTAAGAGAATTTGTAATTATATACTAGCGCTTGTAAAAATTTTTTGCCTGTACTGTGTTCTGACAAACTAAAACCAGCATTCTTTTTCACTAGTTTTGAAGCCACCTAGGTAAAGGCACTAAGGCTTTCTAAAATGAGATTAAAAAAATAGCACGTACCTTTTTCTCTCAGGTGGCCCCATGTGTGTCTCAATATGTTAGCACCATCCTTCAGACAAAAAAGGATGCCAGAGATATCATCCAGAGAAGGTTAAGGCAGGTCATAGCAGGAGAGACCTGTGTACATCCCTTCCCACCTGGCAGAGCAGTGCATGCTTGATCTTTGTATAGACCCAAACTACCTCCCATCGTGTAAATACTAAAAATAAAATTGAATTAGAAGTTTGACCCAGCAACATGAGATGAAAAGTATTTATGGCAGATGACAAAGGTAAGGAAATGTAAAAGAGGTGTTAACTTGAGGATTCCCTTCTATAAGCTGCATGTGGATCTCATCATACTATGATTTCAAGAGGGTGTAACCAAACAATGTAAAAGGCTATAGCTGCACCCCTTCCAATGTATCAGTTCTTAGCAGAACAAAGATGATCAGCATAATGTCCTCCTTGCCCTTTGGCTCCTCTTTGGACTGACATTCTTCTTATGCAGTCGTCTGAAGTGCTTGCCCTGGCAACAAAATGGGAAAAAAAAAAACCAAAACAAAACAATAAAACATCCTGTGAAAATGCAATGTAAACTTCCTCCCACCTACTGTTCTTCTCTGCTGTCTCAGGATGAGTAACAAGCATGGCTAAAAGAAGAAAATCTATTATACACACAGCATACAAGCCCCAAAATCGAGCACCTAGATTTTTTTCCTCCTCTAGGGGAAAGACCAGATGGAAGGAGAAAAAACAATACCCCAAGCTGAGACAGGTTGTCTCAATCCTGTGAGGGTGAAGGAAAGGATATGTATAAACAGAAAATAGGTAAAACAGGGAGCATTTAATGTTTTTTCTTCGTCATGTATAAACAAAATACTTTTATGAATTGAGTCAACAAGTGTCAAGTGTTTGGCTTTATGACTGCACTCAAACTGATTACTCGGTAACCCCCCAAAAGCAGTCTAGGTGAACTCAGTGTCATTTCTGCAAAGGCACAGTAAAGACAAAGCAGTGCTTATATAAAACTACTATATAGAAACAAGAATCGTGTTGTAAGAAATATTCACATGGCTTCATACAGAAAGAATACATTTAAAGATGAAGTCTTAGAGAATTAGAAACAATGTCTGGATAAGGTTGAAGTCCTAGCTGTTTGTTATCTTTCAGCTTTTGTATTATAATTCTGGCAAATTCCTCTCCTTGGCTATCTGAGGTATCAAGCAGTTGTCGGACTTTTGATGTCCTTGTAGGTTTGGTGCTTATAAGTTCATAGTCTTCTTTCATGAGTAAAAATCTTGACAGAAGAGCATCCAGTGACTGATTCAAACATGCTTCAGTCATCTGATCAACAATTTCTTCTCTTCTACTTTGGATCCATTGATGAGCTACATTCTGTTGTATGGTTTCCAAAACAAAATCTGAGATTGGAGAGGATTAAAAAAAAAAATTAGTATTGTAACTCTCTGTCAATAAATAGTGCCATAGAACAAAGAACAAGCTGAGAAAGATCTGTTTAAAACTTGATTTTGGTCAGAAATACACTAGACTACTAAACATGCTTTTAACATTCACTATTGTATTCCACATTTAAAATGTTCCAATTTGTCAAATATGGTGGTTAGAGTATTTATTTTATCTGAATCACAGAATAATTTAGGTTGGAAGGAACCCTCAGGGAGGTCATATCTGGTCTAATGGCCTGCTCAAAGTTGGGACAACTTCAAGGATAACTCAGGTTGCCCAGGGCCTGGTCCAGCTGAATTTTGAGCGTCTCCAAGTGATGTGACTTCTACAGCCTCTGTGGGTAACCTGCTCCAGCGTTCAACCTATTCTGGTATTAAAAAGAGAGAGATATAACTTCACTTTCCAGTGGGATTTTTTAATTGACATTTACTGAAAACATCCCTGTAGTTTCCTGTGTGTTTTCCTCAAGCCAAGGATTCACACAGTGAAAAGGTACAGATTCTCATATTTCCAGAAGAGGGATGATGCAGCAGATCTTTATAAAGTTGCATGTTATTGTGTGTCCCATAAAGATAAATTGTCTAAATGTCTCTGAATAATTCATCATGCATTAAAGTTTCTTTTTATTATCATTTTTTTGGAATCACACTTTTAACAGTTATCTGATGGATAGGAATATCATGCAGTGGGCTCTCAGCTAACAGAGAGGATCATTAAAGGTGAGGTGCTGACACAGCTGCTGCTTCTCTTTGCTCTGCCATTACTAAGAGGAAGATTGGCAGACCTAAAAAGTGGGGAGAAGTGACAGGCAACAAAATGAGTTAAGCTCGAGCTAACTTTTAATCCTGTTCTTCTGGATTGCAGCACTGCTACAGCAGTAGGAGAAAGGAGAAATAATATGAGCAAAGAGAACAGGATAAAGAAGAACCAAGGCAACAGGAATTAAGTTTGCGTAAAAGGAGAGAAAAAAGCTAAGAGCAATGGGTACATATACTAGGTCACATTTTACATTGGTTTTACTTGCTTTGTAATTTAAGGCTACAAGGACAGAATGACTTGTGTTCTTAACTTACAGAATGCTTTGTTTTCATTTTATAGGTGAACAACAGTCACAGTTTCCATTTCATACACACATATATTTGATATTAGGACACTTATTGTGTATCTTGGAATCAAATCAGTGTTTACTGTACCTGAAGGTATTGGTGATGACCGTGGTATACATGGTGAAGAATTTGAGGCATCTGAAATATTCTTGTCAGATGAGGGAAAATAACTGCATGGATGCACAAGAAGTTTAGCACTCTGACTTACAGAGATATTTTCATCTGTGCTCTGACTGCTTAGAGAGTGTAGATCTCCAGAATTTCCATCTTAAAAAAAAAAAGAAAAAAAAAGAAAAAAAAAAAAGAGTGAGCTCTATTACTTCTATATTCAAATAAAATATGGCCATCAGCCACTATTTAGAGCTTATTCTAAATTAGAGAAGGGCTGACATTTATCATTATCTTATCTGATTACACTTATAGTACATGCTCATATTCAATCTAATATTCCATTTTCTAAAATTCATCACAACATTCATATTAAGCTTGGTAACCACAAGTTATTCTTCATCTTTAAGACTTTTATGCTGTGTATATAGATAAATGCTTGGGTAGAGGCACAGCAAAACTATACTACATTTGCTTTCTGACATTTTCCCCTGTAACACAAATTCCTTGAGCCTCCCATAATTTTTTCTTCCTGCTGTATTTATATCTTTCTAGGACATGGAATACAAGCCCAGAATTGTGGACATGTTCAAACAGGAGCTGGAAAAGAAACTGCCTGTGCCCTTCTACCTCTACCAGAATAACTCCAGTTTTGCAGCACCTCAGCACATGTTTTAATGCCCTGCTTTATAGCAGTAAAGTCAATTGTCTTGTCTGCTTTCACACCACTGGTCCCTGCAAAGCCAAAGGATATTCCATTCTTTGGAAATATATGTTTGCATTCTTTCAAGAGAAGAAACTCAAGTGCAGTTTTAGTTTCACTATGTATTACTATTCCACATAGGTCTCATCACATTTTTCTGGCTTCTGATGTCAGCAAAACCTCAACATTTAGTTTTATCTGTGAATTTTGCCAACTTTTATTCAGAAAAAGGTGAGAGCTACAAAAGATTTGTGCAGATACTTTTGCAAGTCAATCTGTTGAAGCCATTTTATTTAAAGAATTAAAAATGATTGAGAGGTTGGGCTGCATTAGGAACTTTCAGTTTACTCAGCTTTAAGAATACCTTAAAATGTTTAGCTTTTTTCTCTTTAGAACTTCACAAATGATTAACTGAACTGCCAAGAGTCTGACAAGTAGATGCTATAACTGCACTAATGACCCTGAAAAGGAAAGCTGAAGCTATGAGCTGTGGGGACTTCTTAAGTGACAGAACAGAAAATCAGAGCTAAAATGCTCTGTTTTTTCAGCCAAAGAAACACAAAACACACCTATTTTGGACATCCAACTTTCTACCATGAAAATGAAATGTTACAGTGGGTGTGTAAAACTGCAACGGCAACTTAAATTTATGTGAAGTCATGAGTATCTCTACCTGTTGAGAGGATATTGCACTTGGGAACAGACTTGAGTGTTGATGTATCTGGAGAGATGCTCCGAAGGGGAAGTGCATCACAGTGTACAGAGGCAGAATATGTTTCCTGAAATGATTCCAGTTGTATAATGAAAATGCACATTAAAGAAATACAAAGTTGCAATTTTTACAGAGTACTTTCCCCTCACTGTCTTTTCACTACTATCTAAGTGCTCAATAGACATCAGAATTAAAATACAGTAAACCAGAAGAAATCTGTGTAATCCCAATACTTGTGTTTTTCCAAAGCTGACAGCAATTTTGTACACAAGTTTAACTATTAGTAAGAATCAAAAGAAGCAGCATTAATATTCAAAATATAAAAGCAAATCTATATGACCCTGTATAAGTAAGCTCCGTAGAGGTGTAAGGGAGCAGAAGACAATCTCCTACAAGTTGCGGATGTTGTGTGCTGCATTCCTCCTCGAAGGGATGGCTTTCCCACATTTAGAGGATATGCCAAAAGTGCCTTTCTTATTTCTGTTTACCCCCCCTTTACTATCTTCACCTATATGACTATGCATTTGTCAGATCTGGCTCAACTAATGTATTTTACAACTTTCCTGACTGCATAGGAAAGTAAACTGCAGAACAATTCCCCCTTACTAAGTTAACATCCCTTTAAGCTTTCAGGGTCTTTAATGATGCTGACATACCAAATGAAATATACAAAATATTTACCTCTTGGGGATTCAGAGGTATATTCAGAGGTATCTGCTTCACATCTGCTTTCTTTCCACTCTTGTAAATACATTGTGATTCATATAACAACTAGAAGAGACATGTTTACTTGTATTAAATTTCTGCTCTAAGACAAGACAACAGCTCTGTACAAGCACATGCTTCAGCCAAATACAAGATCAGATAAATGACAAAGGAGATTACATGTCTTTTAGCAAGCAAAAGTTACCAACCTATTTGACCAAGTTATTACTGTAAGAAAAGCCACTTACCTTTGATCTCTTTAACAGAAGTACTGCTTCCAGCATAGCTATTTCATCAAATGTTCGCAGGACTGGCTCAAGGTCTATTAAACATTCTAAACAAAGAAAGAGTACTTTGCTGAACGATTTAAAGTGGAAACTAAGTTTCTCCATAATTTCTCTATTGATGCATATCAAACCACTTATGCTGCTAGACATAGACAGAAGTTTCTTGCTTTCACCTGTTACAAGTTTCACATCACCTAAAGAAACCCTGTCCTGATCTGGCCACCTCAGCGCTCTGTATCAAAAGAGACCCAGGACTGTGCCAGACCACAAGTCTTGCATTCCTGGAAGGGATAGATCAGTGGGTTTGCTATGTTTCAAGATAGACCCAACAAGCCTGGTTTGCTAAATGGGACCAAAAAGCACAGGATCTCAGAGTTGGTCGCTGTCTTCCCACTCTGGCAGAGGTGTAAAATTTATGTTAGAAAAAGAAACAAACAACCCCCCACCACAGCAATATCCAGAAGAGATGCTGTGTAGAAGGGCCGGAGGAGATGGTGATAGCCAATGCACTGACCTATCACGTCCAGGGAATCCAGATGGCAGCCTCCCTGTGCTCACCAAAGGCAGCGAGTTGAAGAAGCTGCAATCATCTGCTCACACAGGGAGGCACACGACAGTCCAATAAGCAAGCGACAACCTGTGCTATGTTCCCTTGCTTTCCAAGGCTGAAAGGTTTACAAAACTACATATTTTAAATTTTGAGATGACTGCATTATAAAAACGACGCTTTGAAACTGTGCTCAAGTACAGCAAAGCCTCAGGAAAGGATGATGGCATATCACAATTCTACTGCATTTCTATGGACTCCATCCATTTGCCAAAACACATTTACAGTACTAGCAATCTGTCACACTGAATCCTTATTAACATCTTTTTATTTTTTACTGTAATTTTACCACAGTTCTCCCATATTAAGTTTTTTTTCCACTAGCATGTTCAAGACAAACATTCAATACTGAGATTCTTATTTTCTTTCATCAGCTAAAGCAGAATCTTACTGTTTTGGCACGCCATTTTCTGCACTGAAATACTAGCACTGTTAATTTTTGTTGATTATAATTAAATTGTAGGTATAAATTCCAAGTACATGCAGAAGCAGGGTGATAAGTAGCCTTTATCCCTTCTGTATAAGGGGAACAGACTGGCTAACTGAGCTTTTCTATTTAAAGTTTATTTAACAAAAAGGGAGTTTGGGTGTTTTGGTTTTTCACCCTCACTGTGCTATGGTAATTGCAAAATTTCTCAATCAGTGAGCTTTACTTCCCTTAATTTTGCAACAGTTTTGCAACTTCCTCTTTCTTTTTATGACAGTAAAGTAGATGAAAAAGCAATGCATGTGTTCTTCAAAGACCATCTTACTACAGACACAGCACTAGTATCAGAACCCAAGTCAGCTCACACTTCAGTCCAGATCCCAGGTAATTATCCCTTCAGTGTGACCATAGACTTTAATTGCTCTTTTGTTTTGGTTAACTGATACAGGAAAACAAGAATATATATGGAAATAGTATGATGTGTCTATCTTTTTGATTTTAAAAATATTATAAATAGATATATTTCCTTGTCTATATGCCTATATGCCTAATTTCACAGTTGAAAACAGGTAATGTCTTTCTGACAATTTTGATGGAACTACCTTTACACAATGGCCAAACTAGAGCCGAAAGTCACTACAAAATTAAGCATATTAAGGCAAAGTTGTTATGGGGGATAAATTTGGACTCAACATACACCAAGTATGTTGGTTAAGTGCGACAAACACAGGCTTGCAAAAATCAAAACAAAACTTTTCCAATTCACACTATGCCACTCTAATCTTTACAAACTCACACTTCAATCTTATTCTCTAAATTCTGTAACCCACTGTAAAAAGGGTGAAAGTATCTATACTTGGTCTTGTGGACAAGAAGCTGAACAAAGGAAAGATAGAAAGAGAAAGTTAAGCTTGTGGGTTCAGAGAGTTCCTGCTTGATCTGGGAGGTGGAACAGTCAAAGATAAAGTCTCAGTGAAAAAGATTTATACTGAGATGCAAACACAAGGGGAAGTCACTATAGCTTATCTGATGTGCAATGATTTGTTGGGGTGTTTGACAGCTTGCTCATAAATCCCCAGTACTCATTATATACGTCACTTGCCCACCTTCTTAAAAAAAAAAAAAAAAAGGTTCCCTTCAACAATAAACAAAAAACCTCAAGTGCAAGTAGTTAAACAAAACATGCTGCTTTTTTAAGAGGTCAATTAGAGATGGCAAATGCAAAAGACTCCAACTAACAACTTGGTTTTATGACACACTCTTAGTTCTATTCATAAAAGTTTGTTTACAGATATGGTGGAAGCAGACAAGCACCTTACCATCCGCAACAAGACTGAGCACATGTATCTCTTGACAGCTTTACCATTTCCCTTTTGCATCTATAACCTTGCTCTGTAAGTACCACTTTCAACAGAAATCTGACAATTTTGTAATCTTTTCTCTTTATGCAAGGTAAACTCACTTAAGAATGATGGTCTTTCATCTGGGTTTTGTGCCCATCCACTTTCTATCAATCTTGTGATGACCACTCGATGAGGAATGTCCATTGATAAAACTTCTTCACTTAAGTCTAGTCGCTGTCCTTGTGACACACTATACATTATCTGCAAGGGGTTTATAACTTCTGTCAAAATAGACATCGTGCATTTATTAGAAATATAAACAAAATAAATAGCTTACTATAGGAGGAATAATTTAATTTGCAGGCATAGTATTTATATTTCACCAAAATAAGTTTGTTTCTTTTTTTTACGAAAAAATTTATTTCTAGTTTATGAAACAACACTGTAATTAAAAAAAATATAGAAACAGAGTTTAATTTGAAAAGTAACTCAAAGTGTTCTACAACAAGCTTACAAGTTGAATCATTAGAAAGTAACCCCTAAAATGAAGTTCCCAGGTAACCAGGTCTCACGTTTAGCCTTTTACATAAGGCTGGAAAAATAAATTAATGGAAGATATGGACTTACCTTCAAATGGCTGTTTTCTTGACATCACTTCCCACATAATAATTGCATAACTGTTTAAAGTATAAAAAGATAAAGAAGATGTATAAGCTAAAAGAGGGTAAATTTAGACTAGACATCAGGAAGAAATTTTTCACTGTGAGGGTGGTGAGACACTGGAACAGGTTGCCCAGAGAAGCTGTGGATGCCCCATCCCTGGAGGTGTTCAAGGCCAGACTGGATGAGGCTTTGAGCAACCTGGGCTAGTGGAGGGTGTCCCTGCCCATGGCAGGGGGGTTGGAACTTGATGATTTTTAAGGTCCTTTCCAACCCAAAACACTCTATGCTTCTATGTCATTCTAGATTACTAACACTTAATTACACAGTGTATTCAGCTTCACATTTTATTAAAAACATTTTGCTAAAATAATCCCACATGCACACACAGGACTGACTATAGGTAACTACAATGATGACCTGAATATATGAAAACTAGCTGGAATTTTAACCAGTGACTTCAACTAGAACTAGTTAATAACATTATGTACAGAAAAGGTACGTGGCGTGTAAACTCTTATTCCAAATCTGTATTAGCTCTGCTCTGCTAATACATTGTGAATTATGTAGACGCAGTTTAAATCTCAGTATGCAAATTAAAGTGAGCCCCGGAGTCCCAGCTGCTCTGTCCTAACTGCAATACTGTGGCATCTCCCCAGTCCAGGTCAACACTCTCTGACATTCCCATGGGAAGCAAGGTACTATCAGGGAGGAAGGTGTTCACCCACACCTTTATCTCAACACAGTCAGAGTCAGGTGCGATACGAACTTGCATCTGGGAAGCACACTCCAGCTTCCCCCCCAGACACATATACTTTCAACATATGCTATCTTCTCTTACAGGGGAGATGTGACTTTTACATACAAGATTTACTTTACAAAAGAGACTTTCAGGAAGACCAACCTGAACTATAGCTATCAGACTGAACACATGTGCTTGCTTATTCACACCAGTGACATTCTTTTCCATTCATATCAACATGAATGGGAAGTGGCTCAGTGAATACAAATCTGCTCCCTCTTTAGTAGACTTGTCACTCTCTTCAATCATTATGATATATTTTAAAAAAAGGTAACTTTAAACAAGTTTATAATTTTAATTGGATCAGATTATTTCATGTAAATGAAGCATTGACTTAATTTATTAAAAAAATAATCAATGCCATTAAAGCAAACAAAAGAAAATAATGTAAACCTTCCAAATCTGTTTTTCCTGTATAAGAATAGGAATTTGGTGTGAGGAATAAATCTAACAGTTCTAAAGCTAAAATGAGAGAGCAAAAATGTTTCACTGCTTAAGAACTCAATTTCCAATGTTAAACATATCCTTGTAAATTTATGTCTATTCCTTTATTTTTTCAGTTAATCAATTTAAAAACAGATTGAAAAGTTTTCAAAATGTTACTTCAAATTAATTGAAATCCAGTGTCTACTGAATCAATAAAAATGAAACAATGCAAATAATTTTTTTTTGCTAAAGAAAAATTACACTTATCAGAATAAATGTTTGCCCAACTACTTTAATAACTGTACACAAAGACAGTATTCTCCTGCATCACTAATAAGTACCAAATTTTGCATACAGGTTACATTTAATCACCTCTAAGCATTATACAATTCTTCCTAACTGGTAGCTGTTCGATTAAAAAGGGCAAGAAGGAGGACCCAGGT